ATGAAACTTATTTTGTATCACAAAAAAGTTAGAGTTTTATCTATTAAAACTCAGCATCACTAGCTGTCCGATTTTTTTTTAGGCTTACTTAGTGAGAAAGTTACGAAGCCTAAAATCTTTCTTAATTACTCTGCTTTTGTCGAGTACCGCGCTCTTCTTGTTCAATCTTGGTCAGAAGTTTAAGAATTAATTAATTAGATTGATGTACTGTTGCACTAGAGGTAATTTACTCTTCTCTACAGTACCCTACCCTCAAATTGATGTCAACTTTTATATGCTTATGATCTATCAATGGGATATTGGGGACCTGTTAGAGGTTGGCAAACGTTTTCATGGACCCTCAATTATTGCATGTTCTCTTTTCTCGACTTGTTATTTTTCATGGCCATGCCGCCGAATGTATACTTGACGTTATGAGCCAAATTTTTCCTGGAACTTTTGCTTTCGCCGACAAGAACGTCATGCTGAACAGATAGTTTAACTATTTGCGCAAACTGGACTGAAATATCATTTTCCTCTATTTTGGTCTCAACAAAAGCCACAAACTCCTTTCTCCATCCTCGATCTCTTTCATTCAATTAAATTCTCGCTATTCCAGCTTTAGTGTATCAATATAAAACGTATTCACACTCATGTATCTGTATATGTTTGTGCGTATGCATGTGTGTATATTTGTTTAGCTCATGCTCAATTATGAATTTCCCCACGTATATGCGTTCTCCCTTTTTGTATTGAGACTGATTTTCACAGTGAAAGTTTTTCGAGATTATTAGTGAATCCGGACTATCAGTTTGGATCCTACTTATTTAATTGTTGAAAAATTTGGCTACATCTACTTAAGCAACCTAGGATTAGTCATGCTTGTATTTTGATAGAGCCATAGCATGATCATTCTTGAGACAATCTAGGTGTCGGATTTAGATTCTTTTAGCTATTCTTGAATTTAGATTTAAATCTGCTAAGTTGCATGTGGCTGCATTAGTGTTTATGTCTATGTTTGTCTGGCAGATTTTTAGGTCACGTCAACTGCCTGTATGCTGTTAATAAACGCGATCCAACATTAAGATGTAGTCTTCTCTGTAGCAACAAATCACCGGGGCAACTATGAACTGGCATACTGGCTAGTAAGGCCAAGGGAATAAGGTATACGGCTTTAGCTTTGATTAATCCGTATTTTCGTCTATGATTCTACCCCCACAGTTTTAGGATAGTTACCTTCTGTTTTAAGAAATCTCTTTAATGCATTCATCAATCATTGACAAAAAATAAATACTCTCTTTCTGACTAAATTTATTCGCCATATAAATAAACATAAATTTTGTAATCGAAAGTATGAAGACCAAGATGGTTTGTTCGCAGTCTCCTTTAGTTGTATAGAAGTTGTTTGACCTTGTTTTCGCAAGTTGGTGATATTAGTAGGAAGACTTAGAGGAACGCACCTAGTCCGGAGTCCATTGTATGAATGGACGTTTCCGAAGTCGGACTGTGGACGTGGTACTTTTCCAGACGTTTTGCCAGAATCGTAGTCGGCATCTTCAGTGAGTCTCGCCATTCGTAGCACAACTCGTCAGAGACACGTGAAGCCCATCCTTCGAACAAACGTGTGCTAAACAGTTATGGTATCTCCCATTCTGCCCTGACGACATTCATGAAAACCCTTCACACTCCACACTGTCGTTATCACCCTCTTCACTCTTGTGCTGGGAATGTAGATCAGAGTCTGCCATATTGTTACGCAGTCCTCCTTCCCTAGGTCTTACCACA